ACATCGACGACGCCGCAAAACCCATCGCAAGGCTCACAATCTCCTGAATGTGCTCGGTAGCATTAAGGAATTGGAGCCCGTGCAGGAGGATCGAGTACTGGAGTTGCTGCAGCTCATCATCAATGAATACATAACTTCTTCCTAAAAAATTGACCATGTGTTGCTGACGTTAAGCCAGCAAACCCAGTCTATTATTAGTACGACAAGTGAGATTTGGCTTGAAGAGATACTCCCAAGGAGGATGTGGAAGGCGAGAATAGAATGTTTGCTCAATGTTGCTAGTGGAAGCTGCAAGTATAATTTTGGACAAGGAGTAGCCCAATCAGAAAAGAGGAAAGAAGGATTCTTTAAGTGGGGTTTTGGTGTGATTGGAGTGCATGTTCATGCTTTGGTCCAAATTTGTAGAGAGTTTGCTGCTGATTGGTGGCTATGTCACGCCATGCATAGGAGGACCGGGAGGCGAATGAACGTGGAAAATGAATCTTATAGCTTTGTATTGTTCGTTGAAGGGGCTGATTTTGTTGGAATAATTCACTCGGTCACAAGAGAGAGGAAGGCCATGTACAGAGGAGCTGCTGAAATTGAATTCGTTCCGAGCGTAATTGGAAGTATCGAAGGCGGTTGTATTGTCAAACATCCATGATCGTCAATGACAAGTTACGAGGGAGATTCTTTTACATCGATCTCGGTTGAGGTGGGTGTGGTGATCCCACGAACCTTGGGGACAAGGTTCTTCGAAGGGGGGGAGGGATGTTACAAGATCGAGCCATCGTGACATTTCAGAAATTACTGGGCTTGCGTATCTTTTCCTTATTAGTTCGTATGAGTCATTATTTGGGAAAATTAGTATTATTTATTATTATTAGTTGTTCTAGTTGGTTAGGAGATGTGTTAGTTCTTTTTTAGTATTTAATTAATGTTGCTTGTAAGGGAAGAAAGAGAATTCTAGTAGGAAAAGGATAAGGAGAGAGGCTAAAGCCTTGGGTGAGAAAGAAAGGGATTTAGTTGTGTAACTCTATAAATAGAGACATTGTTTATGAATAATAGTATGAGAAGATTGTCACCCAATTTATGTTTTGTTTGCTTTGATTATTTATTTCGTTCGGTTTAGTAGTTCGTAGCTATTTTGGGGTTGTTCTCGCCATTAAGGAGATTCTCTACTTGAGAGTTTCGAGAAGTGTATCCTAAAGTTCGGAGAAGTAAAGATTTAGTACGTAGAATTCCGCTCCGACGGCGCATCTACGTAACAGTGGAGAGCTGAGGCGGCTGACTTTTTATCGCACATCAATCTCGCCATCACAGGCAGAAGCTGGAGGTCTACAACGAGGTTCTCCGTAGAATTCAGATTCTGCTCGCCAATCTTACTGGCTTTGACGATCAGCTGTTGGGAAAGCCAAACCACGGCGTTATGGCGTATTTATGCTCGCGGCCGGAATAACTGCTTGTTGGCCCATCTTCTCGCCGGTGGTCAACCAATTTCTTTCCTGCAGATTGGGATAAAAGTGACTGACGGTGACTCAGATCTCTCCGATTCCCTTGCAATCTCCGCTCTCCGCAGTAGCTCCCCTTGTTCTTTTTCTCGCAGACACCAGCAAGATAAACAAAAATAATGCAAAAAATAAAAAAGAACTAATTGATTGATAAAAGAGGGAATTCCTCAATCTCCCTGTAAAGCATGTTCTTATTCCAAACGACCCCAGCAGAACAGCGGTAGTCTTCAGGGTATGTCTGTCTATCTCGCTGCGAGAAGGGGGGGAAAAGCTGCGGAGCTGTGCTCGTGAATCCATGATCTTGCTTAAGCCAGAATCGGCATCCTGTTCGGCAAATACGACAACAATCAAACATTTAAAAAAATTTAGAAACCGAACAGTAAAAATAGGGTTACCAAATCAGGCTGAGTCGCGGACTAGGTTGCTCTCTTTAATGCGTTCGCGGCACTGTCTCGTAATGCGCACAACAGACTATCAGCCGGCCGCCTCCATGATAAAACAACCACTCTGATTTTGTTGCTCATCGGTTTTGTGCGGAAACCGGAGCTCTATGAACTCACTCTCTCTCGTGTTTCTGCTCTATCTTTAGAGGGTCTGGGAGTTTGCTATTTATAGGAGCAGAAAACTCAGAATATTTCCTTTTTCTTTGGGAATAAGTCACATTTTAATTAGGAAGATAATTACTGCCATAATTAAAATGTATTCTATTAAGATAATTAATCCGAATTATCTGCATAATATTTTTTTATTAATTATCCATTTTATTTTGTATTATGGAAAAATATTGGATAATTAATTAGAAATTTCATTCATAGCTTTTCAAAGCTATTCATCCCAATATTCTGAAGCTCTGCACGATGGAGTTGCTCTCCGCCAAGCGCGTGCTGTCTTTCCCCTCCATCAAGCTCCAAGAGGTCGCCAATCTCGTCGCCTCGATCCGCGCCAGCAAGGGACGGGCCGTGGATCTCAAAGCAATGGCGATTTCCTTGACCAATTCCATCACTAGCAGGTCGGCTTTCGACAATGCCCCGAAACAGAGTGCGACGTTGTTCCGGGTTGTGGAGAGTATGGTGAGCTCGTTTGGAGGATTCAGGCTCACGGGTCTCTTCCCTTCGATTGGATTGCTTCCGGTTATTAGTGGGCATCGATCCAAGCTCATCGCGCTTCATCGAGCAGCGGATTCGGTGCTCGATGAAGTAATCAACCAAAATATCGAAAATAGAGCGCGACGGCTACGACGGCTCCAAACTAGTGCTTTAGCTGCTTCCAACCATTTTGATGACGATGATGATGATGATGGAGCCAGAGAGGATCTTGTAGATATTATTCTCAACCTTAAGTAAAATGATGTCCTCGCCCTAACCACATATATCGTCAAAGTAGTCCTCCTTGTAAGTAGTTATAGTTTTATATATAAACACATCTCTCTCTCTCTCTTTACTTCAAACCATATCCATCTGAAGCATGATCTTGATCTATCCATTCATTTATATGGTTGTTTAATTTGATACAGAATGTGTTTATTGGTGGGGCTATCACAACACGGGAACAATAGAGTGAGCGAAGTCTGAAATTATAAAAGATCCGGTCTCAAAGCGCAGGCCCTATCGTGGGTTTTCAACACTTGTGCTTCCTGAACTACCCCATTGTCAGCATTTTCTTTTTTTAATTTATAAAATTAGCTGGAAAAGAAATAATTTTATTATTTTTAAATTGTCACGTCACTCATTTAGAGCTGACCGCCATATCAGCAAAAGTTAACGGAGACTAACGGTTAGTGACCAAACATGAACTAGTAACCTAATTTAAGTGACTGTAGATATAATAAATTTATTTTAGTGGCAAACGTGAACTTGTTAAGTAATTCGAGTGACCAAATTTGCAATTTAGGCAAAAAAATTCCGAACAAGCTGCTTTTGAGAAGTTTGACTCAACCCAGTTTACTAGATATCAATAGTAGACATTCTAGTTATATTGTTCTTAGTAATACAAGTTGACCCAAATTAATAAAAAAACATGTTGACCCAAACCCGTCCATCTTTCACAACCCAATTGGAAGTAGACTTCACCATAAAAAGGATTCTTTGAAAGGTAGACATATTCTACTATACAGGCCGGCCCACTTCACACAATCAAGCCCACTAACCCCTTCCCCACACCTCGTCGCCACTTGCCAGTCGTTAGTCGTCACACAGTCGCAACAACCCTCCTCCTCGCGTGGGCAATTGCTGTTCGGTACGATGATAAAACCCTAAGCAATAAACGGAATAGAAGTGGACCTTTAACGACGCGTTTGGCAATCAACCAACCCCAACCCCTCGGATGAGTAAACAAATTGGCTCCACCCAAACACAACCTTCCGTACGCTTCTTCGCCTCTACTTCTTCCTCTTCCCCTACATTGCCACCGAGGCACCAAGGCACTGACTCTTCCCCCTCAACACTAATTTATCTTCCATATTAAATTAAAATAAATCATTAATTAAAATCTATTTTCTTTATCTTTTAATTCTAGTCTTTGCAAAATCATATCATACTTGTTGTTGGACTGAAAATATCTCTTAATATAGTCAAATCGATAAACAATTTAGCAATGTGGAATCCCTATCCCTACATTAATATTATAGGGATTCAAAATTAATACTGTGCCACATCAGCACATGCTTAGCTCTCAGCCTCCCACACCCATCAACGAAAGAAAAATTATGTTTTTTTCATTCTCAAATTCATTAGCTTGGTTCGCTTTGTCTTCCCTCTTGGATTTACCATTTAAATTCTTGATTTATTTAGCATAATTAAGAACATTAAGTATAAAGAAAAAAGAAAAGTGTGTCCATCAATAACAAACTGACAGGTGAATGGTTGGAGCTAAGGTCCGATGAATTTTTTTAAATAAATAAAAAGTCTATAAATAACTAATACAATTAAATTAATTTCCTCATAAACAAGCAAAAATACAAAGGTGTGCAACTATAGAAAAAACGAACCGAGTCAAATCAACGATTCAATGTATAATAAATATAACATACATAATCCATTAAAAATGGGAACAAAAGGTAATGACAATGTCACTCATATGAGGTTTCACAAATCATTCCAAAATAAACTATGTATCATGTTTTTTTTAACATCATGTGTCAAACATAAGTTAGTAAACATCTTTATATCGCCAGTTACAACATAATAAATAAATAACACAAAAGAATAAAAAAAGTATTATTTTATAAATCAAAGACAATTAGAAAAATAAAAATAATGTAAATAAAAAAACCAAACAAAACGTGGGTAAAAAAATTAGTTGTTATAATACGATTTTAATATAAAATACCGAGCACTACAATTTTGAGTCCGATTTTATAACAGGGAAAATGGTAATAATTAGCTACGCAAGCAACACTAGCCATACCGGTTAAAATTTTCCTTTTTGACGAGATTAATTTGATTCAAAATAAATAATAAATAAGAAAGAAAAAAAAGAAACGTTTCGATTGATTAAAATAAAAAGAAGAAACATAAAAATGTTTTTTTGACAGATTTTCTGTTTTTGGGCTCCGCCTTTGGTCTCGTTCTCTTTTTTTTTGCTGCTCCCTGTTGGACCTCTCTCCCGTCTCTCTCTCTATCTCTCGCTCTAGAATCTCAGAGCTCGCCCTCTACCCGGTTTGACGAAGCTAAGGTTTGTTTATCCCATTCGATCTACTGTTGTGTGAGGATACCTACCTCTACGATTCTTCTTAATTCGTTTGCTTAATCCCCCTTCTGTTTGTTGTTTCTGTTAAATGCCCGATGCTTCTTCTCTCGCGTTGGCGGTTTGGCCGTCGTCACGGCTTTAGGGTTTGGTCTTCGATCGGGGGGTTTTTTAGGCGTATCTTTTACAGCTTGTGGCTGAATTTGATCTTCGTTTTGGTAGTACTAGAGTTTGAATGATTCTAATTAGCGTGAGTTCAATGCTTTTTTTCCGATACAGATTGTCTTACTTCTAATCTGGGGATAAAATTTTCTCTTTGGTCAATCCATTCAATTCATCGTCCAGCCGCATATTTTTGGTTTGCTGCGAGTTGGGAGAACATCAGTTTGGTTTGTCGGAAAATCGACGGGGACAACAGTTGGGAGGAAGCTCAAATGATATATTTTTAATGCTTAGGGATTTGAATAATTAAGCCAATTTTTTTCTCTGTTTGCTGGACTTGAGGGTATTGAATTGGGCACTGGGTTTTTGTTTTCACGTCTGTACTTCTTTGTAATCACCACAGTAGCCAAAGATGGTTTCCCTACTCGCCTTCTGGGGTTAGCACACTTAAGTATAAAAGCGATGGGGTACATGGGTTCATAATGCTATACAGTTAGCACTTGTCTCATAGAAATTCAATGTTATAGTTGTGTTCACATTGCTTCATGCATCGTTATGCAGTGACTGGAGTTGAAGGTTTCTGGGGAGAAAGTGGGACATGGCTGGGACTGCGAGTGGTGACGCTGGAGCTGGAAGAACTGCTGATGGGATTTCAAGTGGGCAGCGCTGCCAGTCAGGTGAAGCCTTGGCCGAATGGCGATCTTCCGAGCAGGTGGAAAATGGAACTCCATCAACTTCACCCCCTTATTGGGACACTGATGATGATGACGACGGTGGTATGACATAGTTCTACGATTCGAGTTTGTGTGCCTCCAGTCTATCTCTCTACTACCCTAGCAAATGCTTTTCTTTTATTGGTGACCAACTGAACTTTGTGCGCTTGGCATATGGCTGGTGATCTGGTTCCTCAATGGGCTCCTGATGTGGTTTCCTCTCCTTATCCCAGTTCTTAAATACAGGTTCAATTATTTGACAATTATTTTACTAATGCACAGGGCTGAAACCCTCACAATTATATGGAAAATATACGTGGAAGATTGAAAAATTTTCACAGATCAACAAGAGAGAACTCCGTAGTAATGTTTTTGAGGTTGGCGGCTACAAATGGTATGAACCTTTGCACATTTCTCATCCAATACTTTACACTGGTTCTTGATCTTGCATATTTTCTCCTTTCCCTTTGCTTGTTAATCATGAATATTTATTCCTTGGATTTATAAAAAATGCACTGCTTGTTATGCATATAAAATCGTGTTGGACCCTTAAAATCTGCTCAATATATAAATTAATAAATTTATCCAATACCCTTAGGCTTATCATTTGAACTTTTCATGATACTCTTTCTGTGTTTTCTTCTAAGATATCTCCATTCATCTTCACTTGCATTCTGTAGAATGCTATTCAATCGCTCATTGCTGGTTCTAAAATTTACATCTCTTACTCATTTAAGACTCTTTCTTTGAGGAACAGGTACATTTTGATTTATCCCCAAGGCTGTGATGTCTGCAATCATCTCTCTTTATTTCTCTGTGTTGCCAACCATGACAAGCTTCTTCCAGGTACATCATACATATCACTTGAAGCAGCTGTGATGATGTTTCTAGTTCCTTGCTGTTTGTGCTTAGTCTAAACATTTTGTTTGGTTAATTTAAACCAGGTTGGAGCCATTTTGCCCAGTTTACTATAGCTGTGGTGAATAAAGATCCAAAGAAATCAAAATACTCTGGTTGGTTGGTCTAGTATTGGCTTAGTTGTGGAATCAAAATGTTCGCCGATTATGTTATTAACTGAATCCAACTGTTGTAGATACATTGCATCGTTTTTGGAAGAAAGAGCATGATTGGGGTTGGAAAAAATTTATGGAGCTGTCAAAAGTTTCGGATGGATTCTTAGATGCTGCTGACACTCTCATTATCAAGGCTCAAGTCCAAGTCATCAGGTTTCTGATATATTTCATCCTTTCTTGGATCTAAGTTCCTTATCTTTTCTTTCTTTTTGTGAGCTGTGTATTGTGTTCCTGATTTTCATTCTGATGTGGTTTGGCATGTGATCTTTCTTATTGCCGTCAATGAATGCCTACTGCAATTATATATTGGCAGGGTCATATGCATGGGTTTGTACAGCAAATGGACAATGAGCATGAATCTAGGAATGTCCAGCTTTAGAAGGGATTGGTTATTTGTTTCATGCTGTTAATACTATTTATCGGGCCTTGCTATCAGCCTTTAAATAGCTATCATTGAAAGGATGGCATGGTGTGTACAATTCTAATTCGTGCATTTTAGTTTTGTGAACAGTTTGCTTTATTGTGTCATGTTTGGTTAAGTTTTGTGCACAGTTTTATGATGTTTGTGTCTGCTGTTTTTCCATCAGATGTTCTAATTTTTGTTTTCTGTAGGGAGAAAACAGACAGGCCTTTTCGTTGCCTTGACTGTCAATATAGGAGAGAGCTTGTCAGAGTATATCTGACAAATGTAGAGCAGATCTGTCGACGCTTTGTAGAAGAGAGACGGGGCAAGCTTGGTAGATTGTTGGAGGACAAAAATAGGTGGTCAAGGTATTATCCTACTTAATTTGTGGTATCAAATTTTCTCTAGCTCATGGAAAGCTATTTGTTTCACTGACCATGTGACATGTGCTGTTGCTGGCAGTTTGGTACTTGAATAGCTATCCTTTGATTATTGTTGTTATGCCTATGCGGCAGTAGTTCAGTTATAGCTATAGGTATACAGATGTTAGAGTCCTGGTAGTTTCTCTACAATGTTGAACCATGCTCGAGAAAGATTTAATGATGCTAATTTGATGGTGCTGTTCTCATGTCTTCATCTGTTTCCTGTGTAGATTGCTCTGCCTAGTGTCAATTTCAGGGTCCAGTTGATCATAACAGTAAAATTTTAACCTTGCAGCTTTTGTGCTTTCTGGTTGGGAATGGATCAAAATTCTCGGCGCCGCATGTCTAGGGAGAAGATGGATGTTATTCTTAAAGTAGTTGTAAAGCATTTCTTCATAGAGAAGGAAGTTACATCAACTTTGGTGATGGATTCCTTGTATAGTGGGTTAAAGGCTCTCGAAGGACAAACTAAGAACAAGAAAGGAAGAGTCAAGTTATTGGACGCTGAAGAAATCCCAGCTCCTATTGTACGTGTTGAGAAGGATACATTTGTTTTAGTGGATGATGTGCTGTTATTACTTGAGAGGGCTGCTATGGAACCCTTACCTCCTAAAGATGAGAAGGGCCCTCAGAATCGCACAAAGGTCAGTTTATGTTTGTTTTGTTTGTTGGAATGGGGATGCTTGAACCCAAGCTCTGAGAGAAAGTCATTTGATTATTAATTCGAGTACAAGGTTGTGCATGCACACATATCTTTTAGGCATCGAATTCTTGTCGTAGACCAAATGTCATTATATGCAGTGGTTATTTAAAATGTGCATTCATGCTTATTATAGTCTCAGTGTGAATCTGTGGTTTTGTAAGATAGCAAGATGATAGTAAGGTAGTTACTCCAGTCGTGATGTTCTTCTAGTGTGAAGTTTGATAGTGATATCTTGATGTGAGGACTGATAATCAGTTAGGTGAAAAGGATGCGGCCTTTACTGCATTCCCCACTCCACTAAGTGTAATGTGTAAACTTAAAATTCGTGCTGTAGTACAATCGCGATTAACATGTAGCGATAAGAAGACCTTGTGCTATCTGTTATAACAGTTTTAGATGTCTTTGCAGGATGGGAATTCCGGGGATGACTTTAACAAGGATTCCATTGAGCGTGATGAAAGGCGACTTACAGAATTGGGCCGCAGGACTGTCGAAATATTTGTCCTTGCTCACATCTTCAAGTACGTTTCCAGTTCAAAATTTGCATCAACACATTTTTTGACACCTAATCTCTGTGCCTTTTGAGTTTCTACCGATAAACTTGTACATTGGGAAAGACATGCTTTGTGTGAAGTTTCTTTGTGAGCTAAAGTATTCGCCTTTATATGTAGCCATAAGATTGAAGTTGCCTACCAGGAAGCTGTTGCTTTGAAGAGGCAAGAAGAGTTGATTCGTGAAGAAGAAGAAGCATGGATGCTTGTGAGCGAACAAAAGGCTAAGCGTGGTGCAACTGAAAAGGAAAAGAAATCTAAGAAAAAACAAGTATGCTATGCTCATTTTTTCCCCCTTCTTTTTTGTAGCACCATTGAAATTATGCTCGCTCTATGCTCTTTTTCAGTTGAACAGGACTGACTAATGTCATTGCTGCATGTATTAGTTTCTGTCAGTAATTTCTTTTATGCAGCCTTTTGGAACAACGTCAATCATAATGGATGTTAAGTAGTTCAGCTCATGTTTAAGTCACAGTAAATATGTCTTGTCAGATGTGTAAACTGGATCTCTTGTATGTTCCCTTCCCCTCCCCCTCGTTCTATTGCTATTGGTAGGTTGCCCTCTTTTTGGTTTGAATGAGTATCCTTCCTGTTTGTGTTTCACATAAACTCTTCTCGAGGATCTGGAGAGTTTTTTTTAAACGACATTAGTCCATTTTCTTTTAGCTATTGATATTGTTTTGAATTGTAGGCTAAACAGAAGCGCAACAATCGCAAGGGGAAGGAGAAAGGGAAGGAAGCTGCAGCAGCATTAGACAACCACATGGACGAGAATGCTAGCAATGAGAAACAAGTTCCCCTTATCAATGAGGCGCAACCTATGGACGAGAAGCCTGATGTGCCAGATGATGTCTGTTATGTTTCTGATTCACTCGATGGTCTTGATGAAACCCTCCAGCCTGATTCTGAAGACAGAGATGTGAGTCCTGTGAATTGGGATACTGATACCTCAGAAGTTCATCCGCCCGCTGAAGCCAGCAGCAGCGGGGTTAGTGGATTATCATCAGGTGCAAATGGAACTTCCGAGAAAAGAGGTGTGTCTGCGATGGATGATAGTTCGTCAACATGCTCAACTGATTCCGTGCCCTCTGTAGTTACAAATGGACCCTACAAAGGAAGCTCATTTTCAAGCTACCAGTGTGAAAAATCGCCTAGCAGGTAGAAGAAGATTTTATCCCTGGAAATTTATCCTGACGAGGTTATGTTACATTTTCGTTAATGTGAAGTATCGAACTTTTTGGCTTGTAGGGGGAAAAACCACCGAGGTAAGATAGCATGTGATGGGAGTTGGGGTTCTGAAGCAGATAGTCAACCCTCTGGTTCTGCAACAGAGTCAGGAGATCTTAATGCTACAACTGCAAATGGCAAGTCTGATGAATGTGCGTCTGTGGCGGTTGCCCGAACTTTGCAGGATACAACAACCAGAGCTGAGCAGCATGTGGTTAAAAAGGTACGTTGGTTGTCACTGTCTACTCCGAGGTGTCTTTGTGTTGGCTAACAGATTTAACTTAAAAAATAAATTGACCGTAAAGGTAAATCAAACATGCTACTTCAATCTAACCTTGTAAAATTGCTAAAAGTTCGCTCACCAGTAATATTTAATTATGCGCTTACTCATATTATAAAATATCAGAACCAACTAATGTTCATTATTGAATAAGTTAAAATGGCATTACCTAGTTTATTACTGAGAATTATCTAGTGAACACTCAACTCAACTTTTTTCTAGAGCTCAGTAACATGCTTTCACTTCTGATAAATTTCAAAGGAAAAGTCACATACTTTTTAGTAAATACAGAAATAAATACATCATTCTACTTTCTCAAGCCTTTGCTGTCTGTTCATGTCCTTTACAAATTGCGAGGGCCTGAAAGCGTTAAAAAGTGTCTATGCTTCTTTGGTATATTAGTCTGGAAAGATGATCAGGATTTAAGAGCAATATGTGGTTTGTTTTGTCCGACTCTTCATGTTAGTGAGTATATGTATTTTTCTGCTTGTTAGGAGAAAGTTGCATCACCATCCAAGAAACCAAGCACCACAAATATTGTTGAGTTGGAAAAGCACTCTAAAGAGAAGACAGCATCAATACAAACTTCTCCAGCTAGCCCTTCTAAAAGTCCAGTTCCTGTGATTCGAACTAAACCAGAAAAGAAGATATCTCCTACGGTAGATACTTCTGTACAAGCCAAGAACAAAATATCTTCTTCACCTTCACCACAACCGACAGCTGAGAAAGGACCAGCCGGTACCCACAACAAAAATACAAGTCCATTACTCAGACCTGAAACCCAAAATGCTGCATCGGCTCCAAAATTGCCCGAAAAGTCAACACAACAGCAAGTCCCTGTTGTTGTTTCAAGGCCCTCTAGTGCTCCTCTGGTGCCTGGACCTAGACCGGCTACTCCTGTAGTATCCTCAATGGCTCAAACAAGTCCTTCAATTTCTCGGTCAGCGAGTGCAACCGGCCGTTTAGGTCCTGACCCTACCTTGACCTCACACAGCTATATCCCTCAGTCCTACCGGAATGCCATTGTTGGAAACTCTGCTGTCCCAACTTCAACCAGTTACAGTCATCCCAGCTCACCAAGTTCTGTAAGGAATTTGTCGACGACAGCCACACAACAGAACTCGGTGCAATCTGGTTACCCTCCATTTGCAATGATGACATCAAGGGATGTGTTGCATAACGGACATCAGTGGATTGAAAGTTCTCAGAGGGATTCAAGCAGAGGTATGCACTATGATTCTTCTCCTTCGTCCATGCTTAATGGAATTCAGAACCTCGACTTGTACAACCGTGCTCATGGCAGCAGCGGGGTTTCCCGAGGGGATCACTTCCCTGCAGAGTTGCCGACCTCCACATCCGGTCGCCAGAATCAAGTTGGTGTTTCAACAGACGAGTTCCCGCATCTCGATATCATCAACGACTTGCTAGATGACGAGCATGTTATCGGGAGGACTGCGGAAGGATTCCACCCTTTTGGCAATAACGAACCCCACTACTTGTTTAGACATTCATCTTTCCCTAGTGATCTGGGACCATCTGGTGGCGGTGATTTATGTTCCTCGACCACCAGCAGCAGCAGCAGCAGTAGTTCGTGCAGGTTTGAGAGGGCGAGGAGCTACCAGGACGGTGTGTTCCAGAGAGGGTACAGTTCTTTTGGAGGGGGGCCGTATGACTCCATTAGGGACTACATCCCACAGGGTACAACTAGTCCGTTGCCTTACAGTAACGGGCAGATGATGGATGGCTTGATCTCTAACCAGTGGCAGATGTCGAGTACGGATCTTTCTTTCGCCGGGATGAGGAATTCAGATGGTGATCGTGGGTCGCCGGCCTACTTCAGCCCCGACTATTCGAATTTGGCTTGTGGGGTGAATGGGTATGCAGCATATCGGCCTTCGAATGGACATTAAGAAAGAAGAGGGAAATGGTATGGAGAAGCGGGAAGTACCAGAGCCAGGTTTAAGAGTCTGGGGTGTTGGTAATCATCCGCTTGTAATAATGTGAGAGGTCCTTAGATTGCAGTGATGGAAGGATGGATGGATGAGGTTGTATTCTTCTTTTTCTTTTTTCATAAGGAATACGTTCTGTAAAGAGTGTTCTTTTCGTCCCTTTTTTCTGTGGTTTTCTTATTTATATGCCTCCAACCCTTACCAAGCTTTTTTTAGTTTGCTATGATGAGGCTTCAATTTCAATTCAGCAGCCTCTTTTTCTGACAGTCACTCTTTTTTTTGACAAGGAACTGACAGTCACTCTGCTTGATGCATTTCATAATTGTGGTATCCACGCAAAAAGTCCAGCGGCCTTGGCCGGAGTACTACAGGTGCTGTTTCTGCAGGTCGAGCGGTATCAAACCGTGGTTGTTGATACTTAATTAATACTGGGACCGCCAACGAGAAGCAAAATCGACATGCTCAGGATTTTGGAATGCTTGGATGCTCGAACCTAAAAGAAGGAAAATCGAGACGCAAAGAACAGACTAAAGAGAAGAACTGAAATCTATACGCGTTTGAGATTCTGGAACAGTAGGCGACACTGAAATCAGATCAAACTACATTAGTTCATTAATTATTCCATCTTTGCTTTTCTCTGTCAAGAAACCTTAAACCGAACATTCTGTCAAGTAACATAGCTAGGTTTGAGTCTGTGAAAGACACCTCTTTCATTCAACTCAAGAGGATAGATACAACCATGAGAAATTGGTTGTTGAATTTGCTTATTATGAGGAAACATCCTTGGGGTTCTTGTCCCCTTCATTGATGCATTTTTCTCTTTTCCAGTTTGTCCCTTTATGCACTTAGACTGTCCACAGCAAGAAGGGAAAAAGAGGATAAAAGGGGAAAAAAAGGAGAAGATGGCTCACAATAGGGGTGGGTATTATGGAAAAAAAGGATAAAAGGGAAAGAAGGGGAGGGTTTATCCTACGCTAGAAGTTAAAAGAAGGAGGAGAAGTGGGTCCAGGTGGGTGGGAGGAGGAAGGGAAGGGGGGACCATGTGAATGGTTTTTTTTTGCTTTTTCTTTTTAAAAATTGTTTTATAGTTTTCTTATTGGATTTTTATGAGTTATTGGATTTTAATGATAAAATTTTTTATGTCCAAATTAAAAGAAAATTATATCGAAATGTTCGTCTTAATTAATTAATACTACCTATATAAAAATAATGAATAAATTATCAAAATAAAGTTATCATATCAACTCTAGATTGATTTTGAAGAAAAAAAAACTCCTCCCCAATACCCTTTTTTCCCTACCACCTATTGTGGCCATTATCCTTCCCCCATCCTTTTTTCCCACTTTTCCCATTCTTTTTTCCCACTTTTCCCTTCCACCATTGTGGATAGTCTTAGGGGTCGTTTGGATGAAGCATTTTCAAAATGAGACAATTTGGGGTAAATGTTTCATTTTGTGAAATGAGCCAATTGTGTGAGTTATTTGTCCCAAATTGTCTTGTTTGGCTTGTTATTTAAGATGAGACAATTGGAATGAAACATTTATGAAAAATACCCTCATGCCCTCATTTTGGTACCCTCCTTCTCCATCTTCCTCTTTTCCCCTTTTTCCCCTCTTTGTCCATCTTCCTCTCTGTAACTAGAAGCCCACAATTTCGACCAACAAAGATGAACACTCAACACACACACAATTGACAATGGAAAAACTCCTTATCATAAATTGAAGTGTCCAATTAGAGGCTGATTTTGTTGAGACGCTCTAGTCGGCGACAATCATCGCTTCGGGATTTGGCTTTTCAAGCGATACCGAACAAGGAGAAAGACGAGCTGCACAAAGGAGTCTTGAACGGCGAAGGGTGAGCAGCTAAATGAATCGAGCGTCGAGCTAGATGAATCGACCATCATCGCTATGGGATCTGGCTCTTTGAGCGAATCTCTCCTCCCGACATCTATTCCTTTTTCTTTCTTCTTCGACAAATCGAGAACAGCCGCCCATGCATCGCCTCTCTCTCGATCCGGCGAAACTCACATCGATGGCTACCGAGGTAGATAAAATCGACCATCAGCGCTCCCCTTGCCAGCCATCGTGCTCAAACTGTTGTTTCCACCGAAACGAACGGAGGCTGTCGTCGAGGGCGAAAAGATGATCAGAGAAAATTGAAGGTTGGTTGAGACCTTGGAGGAGAGAGGGAAGCAATATAGCTCGTCGACAGAGATGAAGGTTTTCTGCAGAGAGGGGAAAGAAAGAGAAGAGGAAGGTTTTCCTCTGCCGAGAAAGGAAAGAGAAGAAGAGAAGAGGAAGAAAGAGAAAGGGTGTGTTACTTTTTGTTGTGTCTGCAGAGGAAGAGAGAAAAGGGAAAGGTTAGAATTGGGAAAGATGAGAGAAAAACGGAACAATTGAGAATATCTCCCCCTACCCCAGGTATTTTGAATTAACCCATAACGAAACAATTCTGATTTCCCCACTGCAAAATGTTTCATTTTCATTTTTTATTGCCAAACGTGTCAATTGGTTACAATTGACTCATTTTGAATCAATTGACCTAAATTATCTCATTAAAAAACCTCATCCAAACGACCCTTTAGGGTAATTTGGATTGGGTATTTGGCAAACGTGTTATTTGCCATTTGGAGCCAATTACCACACAAATATCACATAATATAAAACTTGTTATTTGATATGTGATATGTAGTCTCAAATATGTTATTTGGCCTGGAATGTTCCAGGCGGTTTATGAAGAACGAGCGAAGCGTCTATTCCAGAGGGTGGGTATACTCCAAGCTCCTGCAAAACAAGGGTCCGGGGGCGGTCACCCCGGACCCTCCGATGCTAAAGTTGGAGAGAGAGGATAAATGCTTTTGCTTATGTTTAGAGAAAGTAGTTGAGTTACCATCAATGCAGATTTGAATGTATTTATAGTCGGTTAGCTTGAGTATGAGGCATTATATACCATGTCAGGCGCCCTAGGCACGCCTCGCTTTATCTAGACCGCCCGCGGCGGGCATTTAATGCTCAGTCCTGCAGTATTCGAGGTAAGTATCCTAGGAAGATCTTCTCTTCCTGCCACCAACAGTACTTTGTGTCGGGCGGCCTACTCCCTGTCCCAGCATAGAGTGGCCGCCTGCCATTCTCCTTTCCCTATGTCCACTCCTTCTCTGGGCCTCTTGCTGTGCCTCGCCCGAGTCCCTCTTTCGGCCCCTGCCTGGTCGACCCCTTATGGGCCTTAAGCCCAACACCGCTCAACTATGGGCCCAACGATTTCCCTTTAGTCGTGAAAAGCTGCGAGTTTTGGCGGCTACTAACTTTGCCAATGATAGTTGAGCGGTCTTCTGTGTAACCGCTACCTACACCTTGCCCCTGGCCGCCCAAGAGACGGGGATTTTCCATGATGCGTTTTACCTCTACTGCCCTTGCTATGGCTCTTCCCTGGTTGCCTAGTCTACCCCTCTTCTATCACGTGCCCTACCTAGTGCGATCCGCCATCACAATCCGTAAGCTACTTCCTTCGTGGTCGCGTAACGATTTTGAGTGCTTGCACTGTCCACCCCTCTCTAGTTCACGAGCAGTCATAGGCGGTTCGCTACCACAATCCGTGAGCTGCTTCCTCCCGACTGCACAATAATTTCTGAGTGCTTACACTATCCACCCCTCTTTAGTTCGCGAGCAGTCTAACGCGGCTCGCTATCACAATCCGTGAGCTGCTTCTTTCCCGGCTGCACAATGATTTCTGAGTGCTTGCACTGTCCACCCCTCTTTAGTTCGCGAGCAGTCTAACGCGGCTCGCAATCACAATCCGTGAGCTGCTTCCTTCTCAGCCGCACAATAATTTCTGAGTGCTTGCACTGTCCACCCCTCTTTAGTTCACGAGCAGTCCAACGCGGCTCGCTATCACAATCCGCGAGCTATTTCCTTCCCGGTCGTATAGCAATTTCGAGTGCTTGCACTGTACGCCCCCGCGATTACCTTCAACTCGCCCGCGTCTCACGCGGTTCGCCTCGAATTGACTCTGCCGATTCAACTTCCGCGACTCGTCACACCGCTTGCATGTCGCGCCACGTGTCGATTCTTGAGAATTGGGCTCTGACAACGGGCAACTCCCACGTCCAATCACTTGCCCGCGTTTTTGAAATTCCTAGACTAGGGTTTTTCTCGGTCACCCAACCATCGCGTCGTTGCCCCATTCTTCCTATTTATACTCGCTCTTCTTCCACTTTCTCCATTCTTCTTCTTCTACCAGCACTGCTCTATCTCGTTTTCTCCTTTGCTCTTCATCAAGATTGTGCGTTGCTCCCAATTTTCCCTCTCTTCTTATCTACAAAACAATTCCTCTGTCTCCGGCACGAGCAGACTTTCTTGCCAAACTTAGACGAACTCAGAAACGGGCGAAGAGGAAACAAAAACAGCAAATGGTGATTGAATCTCAAAGCACCACTCGCTCTGATAGCCAGAATCAGAACCTCTCCAGCGATATCGCCGCCGTTACGACCTCCAGTGGCGCCGCCACCGTCACATCCTCCGACGATGCTCGAACTTCCAGCGGTGGCGTCAGCGCTCCCCGCTGCTCTTCAAAGTCTGATGGTGGCTCCGGTGGACCGCCTTTTGGAAGCAGGCAAGCTATGCCAGGTATTTGGCGTCTCTCCTCTTTCTCCTTTGATGCGTTCTTTTTAGGTTAGATTTCCAGAATTGATCCAAGTAAATTTTGACATGCGCGGTCTATTTAGCAAACACTTAGGTGGTCTTTATTATGACATGTTAGGAGTAGAACCTGATCCTGGTCTTGTAGCGGCCACGTCTGCTGGTTGGCGTGGAGCATCCTCAACGGTTGGTGACAACTTAGGGAATTTCAGCTATTCAGAGGCGGAGAGCGAACCTCCAAACGTCCACCACTTGACGCCCTTTCTTCAGATAGCGGGTTCGACGACCACCCAGAGGCGGATGGGAGGGAGCTATCCCCATCGTTAGTAGTATCTGATGCGTTGCATGTGGAGGCACTCTAAGTTCTTCACAATGCAGCCTATCGTGTTAGGTTACACGAGGATATGTGGGAGGGAGAGGCGGTTCCATCGAGTGCATACGAACAGGGACCGCCTAATGAGGCTGCATATAAGCCTCAACAGGTCCTTCGTCAGCTGAAGACGCATGGTCTTCCTGCTGACTTGGACTACGCAACTCTTTCTCCTGTTGGGCGGTCTGGGTCATGCCCGGGAGGTTGGATTCCTATTCACGTGAAACACATTTGGATGGGGTTGACTTTTCCCCTCGACCCCATCCTTACACGAACTCTCCTCTTCCTGAACTGTACCTTGGCCGCCTATCGCCTGGCATCATCTTTCATTCTATCGCCTTCAGAGCCGCCTGCGAGAAGATCGGGGAAACGCCATCCTTTGATGCGTTTCGTCAGCTGTATAAAATGCGGGGTTCTAATAATTGCTGGTCATGCTACCACCAAGAGACGCGAGTTGGTTTCGTGAGTGGAGCGCCGAAGCTGGACTCTCCTTGGTTCAAAGAGTACTTCTTTGCCCGCCCTAAGGGTAAATGGTACTCTAGGGAAGTTGAGCCGCCGAATGGATTTGTGGTTGGCGACAAGAAAGATTGGAATACTGATGTTGGCGGCCTCGAGTCCTTCAAGCTGCTCTTAAAGCGGATTATGAGTGCTGTTCAGATTAACCTCCCTCCCAAGGGTGATGATAATGCCCTGGAGATTATTCGGCGTTTTCACGGTTAGTTGTTTTTTCTCTTGTGTTGAATGCGTCTT